GAGGGAGGGAGGGAGGGAGGGAGGGAGGGAGGGAGGGAGGAAGGGGAAAGAAAGGAGGAAAAAAGAAAAAAGAAAGAAGGAAGGAAGGAGAAAGAAAGAAGGAAGGGAGGGAGGGAGGAAGGAAGGAGGAAGGAAGGAAGGAAGGAAGGAAGGAAGGAAGGAAGGAAGGAAGGAAGGAAGGAAGGAAGGAAGAAGGAAGGAAGGAAAAAAAGGAGGAAAAAAGAAAAAAGAAAGAAGGAAGGAAGGAGAAAGAAAGAAGGAAGGAAGGAAGGGAGGGAGGAAGGAAGGAAGGAAAAAAGAAAGAAGAAAGAAAGAAAGAAAAGGAAGAAAGGAAAGAAAGAAAGAAGGAAAGAAAGGAGGAAAAAAGAAAAAAGAAAGAAGGAATGAAGGAGAAAGAAAGAAGGAAGGAAGGGAGGAAGGGAGGGAGGAAGGAAAAAAGAAGAAAGAAAGAAAGAAAGAGAGAGAGAGAGAGAGAGAGAGAAGGAAGGAAGGAAGGAAGGAAGGAAGGAAGGAAGGAAGGAAGGAAGGAAAAAGAAAGAAGGAAGAAAGAAAGAGGAAAGAAAAGAAAAAAGATAGCTGCCCAAGAGAGAAATTCTCCTGTTGTTTCCATGATTTCATCTACATCATTACATCTACTTTAGAACAAAGAATTCCAAGACTTCAGAGAATAAAGCCAACCCCTAGATTTTGTTTTAATATAGGAACTATATAATCAGATTGGTTCTGTCCTACCACGAAGTACAAGATACGCTGTGTCACTGCAAAGAGACACAGAAAAGATAAAAAGGATCTTGCTGTTCCCAGTATTTTCTTAGTCATTGGCTCTTTCTCTTGACTTCCTTCCCACTTTTTATTTTTCTATGCTTATGAGTCTGCTTGTCAATCAGTTTGTCTACACTGTGTCGGCTTACATCCTATGTTGATCTTTATCATTTATAACTATAAAAATACAAAATAAAGTATTAAATCTATGATTAATAAAAAAGAAACATGGTGCCAGAAAGAAACCAAGAGAAAGCCATTGATTGTAAAACTTGGTTCTCAAAGTACCTACTAAGGAGAGTGTGGCTTTGAATAGGAGATACACACACACACACACAGAGAGAGAGAGAGAGAGAGAGAGAGAGAGAGAGAGTGTGCTTTGGATAGGTTAAAAGTTTTAGAATCTGGATTCTTTTACTCTTTTGGATTAAAATTTTTTTGTAATTCCAAACTAAGCCAAATTTGATGAGTTTTGTAAGATTTTAAGGAAGCAACACATCATGTAAGTGAGGTGTGATTTTTTTTTAATCTTTGGGGTGGAGGTAAATGTTTGTCTGTGTGGGTGGTGTACACAGGCGTGAGCATACATGCACACACACATACTGGTTCTCGCCTTCCATCTACTTTGAAACAGGGTCTCTCATTAACTACCACATACATGAGGCTCACGGGACTGCACGCTTCTAGGAATTCTTTCTCTGCTTCTGATATCACTGTAGAAGCCCTGGAGTTGCAAACATGTGCTCCTGAACCATGCTTGTAGCACACAGTCCTCCAAGCAGAACAGTGGCCAACCTCATCAGATCAGCTGTGCCTACGTGCAATGGACCTGTGGTAGTAAATGTTCCCTTGGAGAAGGAGGTGACAGAGAAGATCCCTGGACTCTCACCTGAGACAAAACCAAGTAAAAACTAAAGCACGTTTTAGGGGAAGGCAGCTCACCGTGGAGCTATTTTTATCAGTGAAGGTATGAGTCTAAACAACATCCAAAGATAGGAATCCTCAAGTATGCTGCCTTGGTGTTTGCAAAATAGCATATTATGTAGTCCTCAAAAACAATGCAATACCATGGAACTTTTAGAAGCAGAAAGCTATAGGGTAACAGGGGGTGGAGGGATTAAGAATCAGGACACCATATGTTGTAGCCCAGGGTGTAGCTCATTGGCAGAGCAGGTGCTTATGTACAGGTGTCTTAGGGCTTCTGCTGCTGTGAAGAGACACCATGACCATGGCAACTCATATAAACATGGCTTACCATTCAGAGGCTTAGTCCATTATCATCATGGTGAGAAACACGGCAGCATGCAGGCAGACACGGTACAGGAGGAGCGGAGACTTCTACATTTTGATCTGCAGGCAGCAGAAGAAGACTATGTACCTCACTGGGTAGAGCTTGAGCATAGGAGACCTCAAAGCCCATCCCACAGTGACACACTTCCTCCAATAAGACCACACCTACTCCAACAAGACCACTCCTCCTAATAGTACCACTCTCTATGGGCCAAACACATGAGCTAGAAACCCTGGGTTTAATCCCAACCATGTCTCCTCCCAAGATTCCATGCTCAGAAAACTTTAAAAAAATCTATTTTTAAAAAATAAGAAAAATGCCCAATATTACAAATCATCTACAGGTGTTGTACCTCAAGTTAAAAATCCAAGATTGCTCAGTAGCTAAAAGCACTTACTGTTCTTGCAGAGGACCAAGTTCAGTTCCAACAGGTGGTTCCCAAACTGTTATTATCTCCATAGTATCTAATGCTTTCTGGGTCCTTCAAGGCAATTATATTCATAGGCATAGACAATTTTTTTAATTACTATTTTAGAAATTTAAAACAAGATATATATGGTCCAAATATCTGTGGGTCAGATGAATGCCAAGTCACTGTGGCTTTCTCAACAAAGAGAAAGTATGAACAGAACTAGCCATGATCTGAAGGAGAGAAAAGCAGAAACAGATGGTACAGTGAAGTTCTGTATTTTCTCTCTGCAAGCTATGACAGGTCCAGGTGTGTCATCATAGCACAGAGCTGAAAGTCCAAGGACATTGTTACTATGATTTAAGATGGTTTTACTAGTGGTGCAAATGTAAATAGTGAGGAGTAGCTAGAATATCTCACTGACTCTTAAGAAGAAATAGCTTCAGCCCTGAAGTCCATACAGCCAAGGCAGGTTTTAATTGATATGACTATAAAGAGAATCTTAAGGATCTCCAGTTTGGAAATAGAAACAGGAAAAAAAAATACTAAAAGTAGATCCACATCATGAATGATGGTTTCGTCTCCATATAATTGGATTTCATATTACATCTCTTATATCTTTTGTTTCTAAATACCATAGCTGTCTTATACTAATACAGACCAGAAAGAAAAAGACATTATTTTTAAAAATTAGTGTCACATGAAAATGCATGGAGAGCAATTCAAAGGAATGTAAAGAAGAATAATTAAGTTAGCCAGATATTAAACTGTTATTAACCCTTGAGTGATTCAATTTGTACCAAGTATAGAGAGCCAGCTTGGTATCTATGGAATAAAATGAATAACATAGAACATTGACATCAGAGTGATAGAGAAGGCTGTCACTGGTAACTTGGGCCCTCTGGAAAATGAGCCAAGACAGGATTAGACAGGTGAGAAATGTGTTTGTGGAAATGAGACAGTAGGTGACGAGAACTGGAAGAAGCAAGGAGTTATCAGACTGTGTTAGTCACACACGGTTACCAGGACAAAATGTCTGAGGTAATCTTAATAAAAGATTATGTTTTGGACCATATTTCAGTCCAAAATTGCCTGGCCCTATTTCTTTGGGTCTGTTACCACAGGACAGGAAGAATGTGCTGGAGAAGAAAGCCTTTTCACCTCATGGGAAACAAAGACACAGGCAGGCATAGGCCAGGGCCCCAAAAGTCCTTTCGAGGGGACTCTAGTGGCCTTCTTTCCTCGCACCCCTCAAAGATTCCACCAGCTCTCAGCAGCTCTGCAGGTGGGACTCATCTTCCCACACAGACCTCGTCCTGGAGCCACTTGAAATGCATGCTCACAGCATGTCTCACCCTAAGTGAAGAGAGTACAGAAAGCATCAGACTGTAACATGGGACCTGACAGACAGGAATTCCTGGAGGAGCGCAGCAGGACCATCTGACAGAAGTTGACTCCACAAGGAGGGAGAGAACAGACTCCTGAAATGTGTCCTCTGACCTCCACACATACACTAGGCAACGTGTATGACCACACTCACAAGCATACATATTTCTCTCACATACAATAATAGTGAATTTTTAAAAATTAAGTAAGGTATTAGTAAGTAGATGTCCCTAAGAAAACATTATGTGTTAGACAGAAATATGAAAAAGCAATTTAGTACAAAAAAAAAAAAAGTGAGAGAGAGAATACTGATGGAAAAAACTCTTGCTAATAAAAGAAATCCCATAAGAATTATCTACATTTTTGCCTAACAAATTGGCAGAGCTTCTTCTGGGAATGGTGGTAGCTATGCTACTGCTTGTAACAGTGCTGCTGGTGGTGGTGATGATGATTGTAAAAATGGTGGTGTTGGTGATATTTATGGTGATGGTAGTGATGATGGTGGTAGTGGTTGTGCTGCTGATGGTGGTTATGGTAGTAGTAGGTGTGCTGCTTGTGATCGTGATGGTGGTGGTGATGGTTGTGGTGATGTTTGTAGTGGTGACGGTGGTAATGGTGGTGGCGGTGGTTGTGCTGGTGGTGATGGTGCTGGTGGTGATGTGGTGATGATGGTGGTGACAGTGGTGGTGATGGTAGTGGTGGTGATGATGGTGGTGGCGGTGGTTGTGCTGGTGGTGATGTGGTGATGATGGTGATGGTAGTGGTAGTGATGATGGTGGTAGTTGTGCTGGTGGTGATGTGGTGCTGGTGGTGAAATGGTGATGATGGTGGTGACAGTGGTGGTGATGATAGTGGTGGTGATGATGATGGTGGCAGTGGTTGTGCTGGTTGTGCTGGTGCTGGTGGTGAAGTGGTGATGATGGTGGTGACAGTGGTGGTGATGATGGTGGTAGTTGTGCTGGTGGTCATGTGGTAATGGTGGTGGTAATGGTTGTGGTGATGATGGTGGTGATGGTGGTGCTGGTGGTAGTGGTATTTGTCTAATGATAATGTGTAGTTGGCTGTTAGATAAGATTTCTAAGACCTCTGTAGTGGGTGGAAACTACTTTTCCTCAGAACAGTTGATAACCACGTAACAAAGATGTTTTACCGGAATTTATGTCTTTTAGCTCAGTAGTTCTCTGACTCACAGGAAACCTCCTAAGGAAACCCAACTTTGCAATAGATATATGTGCACAAAAACAATTATTTCTGCATTGTTGTGTCATCAAAGTTGGCAATGATTTATATAATTCAAAAACCGAGACTTGGCTCTGTGGGTTATGGTTTATTTATTTATAGGATTAAATATTTTAAAACCATTCAATATTTTGCAAATACATTAAAAAAGATTGTTAATGACATGAAAAATCAGTGTGACATGAGTTGAAAATAGAATATGAAATGTTTCTAGTGGTTCTCAGCTGCCTAAAATATGTACATACAACATACTTGGAGATCTGCCAAATTTTGTTAATCATTATTTTCTGTAAGACAGGGGACTGTGGGTAAACTTTAAATCTTAATCCAATTTTCCACTTCATGACTGGCTTATTTTCAATGAAGATACGTTACTTTTAGAATAGAATTTGATGAGACAGGCCTGCAAGTCCCAGCCATCCTGCCAAGCCAGCCGGGGCTACATAATGAGACCCTATTTCAACGTTAAAACCAAAAGCTACATCACATTTGCATTTGTAAATACATTTTCCTCTTCATAACAAGTGATGATCTCCATAAAAAGTAATTGAAGTAAAATTCCCACTTTAATGTTTATGCAATATAACTGGCCCATCATATGCTTAGGCAGATACCATATAAATTTAAAACCAGCCTCCATTTAGTTTTGTTTAAACACACCTTCAGAAACCACTGGAGAAGAATTAGATCAAGATGACTATTAGTTTAATATGATGTAGGAAAGCCTGGCCTGGTGGGCACAGCTGTATAAAAGGAAACTGCCTGATGATTAAACTAAGGTATTTATAAATCAAGCATTAAAACCACCCCTGTAGTTTATCCATTTGTACTATCTATTCTCCAGGTAAAGGGTTCAGTAAGAGACAGATACTTATAATATCTCAAAATTTCCAGTCAAGTCCTGCCAGAATCACTTTCTGGGGCTTCCTTAAAAACCAGCATAGAAACAAGTTTTGGATGATGGCTACTACAGTACTTTCCTGGATGAGTTTAAGGAAGTGACAACAACCTTCTTTTTCTTGTTAGTTGCACCAATTCCAAAAGACCTGGGCCAAATGTCTGAGCTTGTGTGAGACCTGAACAAACAAGCAGCCCTGACCATGACCATGAAAAGCAGTGAGCCAACTGCAAGGGTCACAGGGCTACAGGGAAGCAGAACTTAGCAGCCAAAGCCCTTTAAGATACATGTCATTTTTGGCACACTTTTCCTGAATACTTCAAGGTTTGAACAGAGTGAAACCACAGAAACAGCTACTCCAAGAAACAGGCTCCTGGGCTTCTGACCAGTTAGAAGCAGAATGCTGCCCAGCTTCCTCTTCTGAGGAACTGTGGGTCCTGGACCCTCCTCATTGAAATGTTTGTCAAGCGAGTTTTCTCGTAAGTCCTAGGTCCTGAGATTTTCTGATTACACATCCACCCCTCAGTGAGTCATTGAGATTTCTCCTTTCATCTTGTAAGGCTAGATCTTTTTACTTCCCCAGCAGAGTTCAAGGGAGGTTAATGCTTCTTTAAGTTAAAGTATATCCTGTTATGGAAGGTAATAGGGAGCCGGGTCAAACTAGAAAAACCTGATATAGACTAAGGCAAGAACCACAAAATGGCTACCAGCATACTTTTCCCAAGGACACCACATTCTTCAAATTGCTTCCTGTGAGCATGTGAAATGGTTAGAGAGGAGATACTTCCAAAGCCTTGCTTTGCACACCTTAAAGTGTGTATTCAGCTTTCTCGTTTAAAATGTATTTTCCCCCTGCACTGTTGCTTAAAGCTGTGAGGATTCAAAGCTCTGTGGACGCCTGTCATTTATAAGTAACCAAATAAATCTTCATCGGTTCTTTTTGTTCCTGCGCCTGCTCATCCCCTCCCCAGTTGCCTCAGCACATTCTGCAAAGCTCCTCTCTATACTTAAGAACTCAGAAGCATGCCACATGTCCAATGCCAAACCCAAGGTCAGGTTCAGCTAGGCCATCAAAGCACCCTTTCCAGGGAACAAACTCGGCCCTGACCCTGGCATTTTCAACCTCATGGAAGATTTATTAGTGTGGTGGCTTGTTATTACAGCCTCTATGTCTAATGTTTGAAAAAAAAAAAAAAGTCTTAATCACAAGGCACCTCTGGCTTAGGAGAGAGTCCCACCAAATACCCCTAGGCTGTGTTTAAAGGACGGCCCCAATCCAGAAGTCATAACTGCAAAACAAAGAGGTACTCATGATGAATAGCTTGGGGACTCTGACTATGGCAACCTCTCATCCAGATGCCTTTGCACAAGGTATTTCCCTTACTGGGTTCCACGTTTTTGGTCCCACCTAGCTCCACCATTATGACCCCACACTCACAATACTCTTATTGTATTTGTGCTCTTGTGTTTGTATGTGTGTATGTGCACGTGGAGGGCAGAGGACAACCTTGGAAGTAATTACTAAGTCACTGTCCTGTTTTTGAGATATGGTCTCTCACTGGCCTGAAACTCATCAAGTCGATGGGACTGGCTGGTCAACAAACCACAGGGGTCTTCTTCTCTCCATTTCCCCCAGTATTGACATGACAAGCACTCACAACCATGCCTGGCTTCTTTGATATAGGTTTGGAGGTTCAAACTCAGATCCTTGTGTTTGCCAGACAAGAGCTCAAGCTGATTGAATTATCTTCCTGAGGGCTACCATTTATTTGTTCCAGAAGTCTCAGGTACTGTTGATTTTACTATACAACAAGGTCAATCGATCTAGGATAGTACAAGAAGGAACTCTGTCTTTCTCTGTCCCATCGTCCCTTCTAGTCAGTGACGATAATGAATAGAGCAGATGAATGAACATAGATACCCAAACCCAACATTAAATGAAAACATTCTGCGTGTGTGTGTGTGTGTGTGAGTATGTGAATTTTATTGAGACTTGGGAGAATCAGTAAGTCTGATGAGAGACCAAAAGATTAAAAATTAGCAGCTATTATTAATTAAGGCCTGAACTAGGTAGGTAAAGAAGTACAGGAATGCCCTGAGGGGAAGGGCCACCTCACTGCATTCTTTCCCCACCCACTAGAGATACAGTTGCTAGGAAACTGGCCCATACCCCTAGGGAGGGACACCAGATCATTAATGGTCTGAGAACCTTTCTATAGCCAATCAATTCAAAATGTAGCATTTTGACCAATAGATGCTTGCCAGGCAGGAATTGCCCCTGCCTTGGGCATGCTGGGATGGACCAGAATCTACCTAGGCATGGGGCACTTGGCTCCCACCGTTTTGGCTGTGGGAGGTGTGGGCCCAAGCTGCAGCTTGTAATTTACAATAAAAAGAACCTCACATATTTACAGTGGAGTCTGCTTATTCCTGGTCTTTTGGGGTTTGTGAACTGGGCAGACACTGATAGTGTCACTCTCTCTCACACACACACACCACAAATTTATTTATTACTATTCAAACAAGTCCATGACCTTGGTGTTGACACTACCCTGCTTGCTAGCCAAACAGGCCCCAAATGTAGACCAAACCCCAGAAACAGATGTCTGTGGTACTGCAGTGTTTTACTTCTGTGTTAGGAGAGAGTCCTGCATGCTGGAAATTTGGAAGGGAAAACAGGCCCAAACTGGCACTGGTGCCTCACTCTGCACAGGCTGCCAAGACTGTCAAGCTGACAAGCCTACCAAGTAAATGTGGGTGGAAACAGGAAGGCACACCCATTATTCATATCCTGATCTCATATACATCACTAAAGCACTATACTAGCCGCCAAGGTGGCTCACTCAGGGAGGCAGAGACAGGTGGATCTCTGTGAGTTCAAGGCCAGCCTGGTCTGGTCTACAAAGTGAGTCCAGGACAGCCAAGGCTACACAGAGAAACCCTGTCTTGAAAAAAAACAAACAACAACAACAAAAACCACTATACTATTTTACTAATTCTGTTATTTCAGTGGAGGCAAAACAGATCTTCACAACACAGAGTCATGCTTCTCCCCATCCAAGCACCAGGATTTAGTCATTGTGGTCCAGTCCACTGCACAACCTCTTTCAAACCACATCTGAGCACTTGTGCGAAGGTGAAGCTAGCTGGACCATAGGTGCTCCTGCTGCAGCCTGCTTGCTTATGCTTTAGATTTTAACTCTAAGGTTTCAAAATCCAGAGCCACAACGAGGGGTAAAATGTGCACAAGATACACAAGAGTGGGAAGTTAGTGTTCTCTATTCCTAGTGCTATTCCTCACACCTTCCCTCTTAGATTTAAAAAATACAAGCTATTACAAAGAATCTCTCTAGTTTCTCTAACTTTGCATTTGGATACATTTAAATTCATTCATTTGACGCATTTCATTCCTTCCTCCAAATAATAATATCCACGCCCTTCTGATTTCCCATTGACCAGTAATGGTTACCTC